TACGAGAAGATCTTGGCCGGCAAGATTGAATGGCCGCGACATATTGACCCAGTTGCGAAGTAAGCAAATATTTCTGCTGTTGTTTTACTTTATTGATGTTAGGCTTTACAGATTGTTTGTCACAAGTTAACACATCCGTTTGTTTGTCACAAGTGTTAAAATCCGTTTTCTTTTATTTGCGAATTTATGTATTTAGAAGTAAAGATGTTTCTTGCGAATTTTTCGGTGTATTTTTATATGTTTCGTTATTTAAAATTAGTATTATTTAGATATCTCAGAAATATTTTAGATATTTGTTTATATGCTTTCTTTACTTAATTTACATTTACAAAATGTTTTGCGTATTTATTTATAGTGTGTTTCATAGTTGATAATTATACGAAAAATATACACGTGTTGTAGCGGAAGATGTAAGGCATTGTTAATTGTATAAATTTTTGTATGACCCTCATTCTTTCACAATGGGGTAATTTACCAATATATTAATCTCTCTTCTTACAGGGATTTAATTAAAAAGTTCCTGGTTCAGGATCGAACAAAGAGATTAGGTAATATGAAGGTAAGACATATTGTGACATTCTGCATCATGTGTGCTATGTCAAACCAAAAACAAGTTTGATTATAAATATTTTGAAATGTAATATAAGGTAAAGAATCATCCAGAAAGTGGCAAATAACAAAAGCTTAACAGAAACTTCGTAATATAATCCAATCATTTCACCAGCTCCTGAAATATTTTATCTTAGTTAACTAAATAAAACATTTTGAAACAAAATTAAAAACGTAAGTGTTTTATCAGATTCCATCTTGTAATTCATTTATTCTGCTTTAGATACTGAAGATGGAATCTGATAGAATTCCGAAACGTTTATCCATGTCCCCTTTTTGTCAACAAACAATGTTGTTTATCATAAGTGTCGTAATCTTGTTTATAAAAAAACATGTTTATGATAAGATTTAAAATCATACTAATCAGTAGTGTAACAAAATTTTCCACACAGTATAAGTGCATTGTTAATTTTAAAATGTAGAAATAATTTATAATTGATTGAAAAACGCCAACATAAAAAGAAATGATCACCAGCTAACAATTTTAAAAATAAATAAATAAAAAACATTTCAAGTTTATTGTACAATATTTGCAGGAAAGTATTTTTGTGTTGTTCGTAAAGCTTTTTATATTGTAGTTTGTAAGTAGTTATCTTTTATAGTAACATTTCAAATTAAGACTCAAATGACCACATGCATGTACAATTTAATAATTTTGTTTATAATTTTCTTAAACATTTGTATGAATAAATAATAATCTCATGAATGATTTTCACTAACACTTTGCTTCAGGAAGCTAATAAGAGGGAATTAAAAGAGAAAACCTCCATAGCTTTTCATTCCTCTAAACACTTACGTTTTTATTTTTTTTTCAAACTTTTTTTTAGTTAACTAAGATAAAATATTTCAGGAACTGGTGGAATGATTGGATTATATTACGAAGTTTCTTTTAAGCTTTTGTTTTTTGTCACTTTCTGGATGATTCTTTACCTTATATCATATTTCAAAATATTAAAGGCTATATACGAAAACCACGCCAATGAAAGATAACATCAAATCCAGATAAATGCAAGGCATCAACTAATGCTTAATTTCATTTTTAAAATCAGTTCATTGAAAAATACACTGTTCGTTTTTCTTGATAATTTTAACATTTTTTTCCTTGTCCCTTGAAAATATAGCTATTAAATATTACTTATGACAAAGTATATAAGTTATGAACTAAGGACATTTCCATCTTGCAGACATTAGTTGTTTGTTAATATTCACACAACCTCCTTACGTTAGTTATTGACCAATAAAGAGGCTTGTGAAGAAAAATTCATGATTTAATTCATAGTTATTTTTTAACCTTTCTCACCTTTACGAACTTTTCTCAGAATGGAGCTGAAGACGTTACAAGACACAGGTGGTTTAAGGGAATCACCTGGGAAGATGTGATAAACAAGCGACTAAAGGTACGAAAAATATAAAAAAGTTTAAAGTTATTTTCTGAGTTATTCAGCGAATAGTTTTCAATAAATATTGTTGAATTAAATCTCTATTAACAAATATGTAGATGCGTCATAATATAAATATGAATTTTGTTTTATAAAACATATTTGTCCCCAGTTATAGACCTATATTATAATTACTGGAAGATGTAAATCCTAACCAAATTTACCATGTGATGTTCTATTGGTGTGTGATAAAAACATATCTAATTCTGTCTATGATATCATTCGTTCAGTCCACTATGTGTAGCTGAGCTAGCAACAGTGTTACGTGTAAAACATTTTACTTTAAAGTTCTGGAAACATCAACAACACTTGCTGGTAATACTTCCTTAGTGTACTGTATAACCAAAACTGTTAACCCAACACTTTCGAACTAGTTATAATGCCCGCTAATTAATACTCTCATGATTAGTTTAAACTTCCTTCTAAGTCAAAATTAAAACATGTGATTTTGTAACCCATTAATTCTGTGTTATTCGTTAAGCAATTTTTACATTAAGTAAAAATACAGTATTTATCCGAGACATTTGAATTTTATCCCACAGCATATTGAAAACAAATGGTTGAAATAATTCAGAAAGTAGCAAATAGGGCAATTGCTTGTGTGGAGATAAATATTGAAATAATTAACTGTTCAGTTTGCAATAGCTGAGAAGGTTAGTTTTAATACCAAACAATGTAATTATCCAACCTTTGGTCTACGATTTTACAAAATCCAGAAAATCTAGTTGGAAAATAAACGTTGTATAAATATTTCAATATTTAAATCAGCTGGGTAAACGTGCGATATAATTTATGTTAGTAACCTAGTGGTTCTTAGGACCATCTAACGGTCCTACCCCACCCGCTTTCCACCGCAAAAGAACTAATCAGTGACTTGCATTTTGTACCAGCCTGGGGACCACACTTTGAGAACCTCTTAACGCCTTCAGTAATATCTTTCAAACAAAAGTACACCGTCGGAATAAAGATCTTCAGAAGTGGTGGAGCTGAAAAGTGGGACTTTATCTCTTCAGTAGCTTAAAAGCTGAATAACGTTTTTGAAATAATCCGAGTTTTTGTCGAGTTGGTTGTTTTGTGATACGTAATACGGTAATAACTCTAGCAAATATTATGAATTTATATTATGTAACTGGAAAAACCATAAATTAACTTCTAAAACTATAAGTAACAAATACTAAATTTTGAACAAAAAATATACTTTTGTATTTCATCAGCCAAAGTTATTTTAACAGATGAACAATTAATTGTATTTACATTTTACCTTTACAATTAAAATATATATGTTTGTTTGTTTTTGAATTTCGCGCTTAACTACTCAAGGACTATCTTTACTATATGTCCCTAATTTAGGAGTGATAGATTAGAGGGAAGGCAGCTAGCCTACATTACCCACCCTAAACTCTTGGGCTACTCTTATACATACGAAAAGTGGGATTCACCGTCACATTATAACCTTTCCATGGCTGAAAGGGCGAGTATGTTTGGTAACAGGATTAGAACTCCCAACCTGCAGATTGCGAGTTGAGCGCCCTAACTATCAGACCATGTCAGGCAGTAATATAACTGTTATCCTGAGATATTTAACAAAACACAACCTCTGTGAATCAAACCCTAGATTTTAGTATTGTAAGTCGGCAAACTTACCACCGACCCACTGGGACATTTCAAGTCTTATAGTTATGCTTGACGTTTATTTAAAGTATTTTTACGGAAGGTCGTGTTGAATATTATCTAGAGTAAAGACACTATTATTTTTTTACCTATGTAGGTCTTTTCAAGATCCATAGTTAAACTTGACGTTTACTTATTTCATACTATTTTTACAGAAAGTCATTTTGAATTTTATCTAACGTAATAGGCTTAGTTTAGTTTCTTTGTAAATCTAAATTAAAACATACAATTATGCAGCTCATTAATTTTTATGTTATTAGCTAAATACTTTACTTTAAATAAAAATATGGTATTTAATTTTAACTGAACATCTAATCTTGAACTAGGTAAATTGTACAAAATGTCATTTGTCTGCATTAATAGTCTTTAATGTGATGGATATTAAATATATCCCCCGGTGGCTTAGGAGTAAGTCTGAAGGCTTTTCATGGTAAAAATACAGTTTCGATACCCGCTGTGGCAGAATAAGGATAGCCCAGTGTTTTTAACTTTGCGCTTAACAAAAAAAAAATTTAATTCATTAAAGCGAGACCAAGGAAATTCCGTTTTTCTCTTCGATAACTATCAACATCCACCTTTTTTTCTGTTTTCAAACGTTCTCGCGCTCTTATCGGTGTTCCGGATAATGCATTTATAGCTAAAGATTCGAAATTAACTCTAGCAGGACTTTTAAAGAAGAATCTTGAAAGCTTGCTGTTCAGTACGGTTGAATTTAAATGTCAGCAATTTATAACTAGCCGTTAGTTAAAGTATTTACTATGAGAACTGTAAGTGTTAGTTCTTCTGAAACTTAAGTACCAACATTTATTTAATGGTTTAAACAATTAAATATTTGAAAACCTTCTGCTGTACCTCAGCTTCACCTAACACAAATGAAGATAATTATTTTACACGTAAAATAATAATCACTTTTTCATAGGCAAATACGTGTACTCCTACTTAAGACAACAAACATTAAAGTTATTTTAAATTGATATTAGTGAATTTGAAGATCGAAGATGAAGCTGGTGAACTTGAATTAGTTTACGCTGCGATATAGATATTTAGATTAGCAACTTTGAAAAAAATTATCTTAGCCAAAATTCTCAGGTTGCTCATACTAAGTAGGAAAAATTAACAGAAACACAAAGAAGTACACCAGCAAAAGAACTCCCGAGGGAATTAAAGTAGTAATAAAATAACAGTAAACTTTAGGTTATAGTTACAAATAAGAAAACGTTGTCAAAGTATTGTTTTTTTAAGTATGATAATAGTGTTAATGATATAAATCAAGATGTGTGTGTTTGTATATATAGAAATGTTTTTTATCCTAATACGCCGAACAAATTATGAATCTTGGAGCTGAACTCTTTGTTTTATACAATGTAAATATATTTTGTTTCTTCTGTTTGGTTCAAAATTTTTTCTTCGTGTGAAGTTTTCAAATAGTTAATTAAACAGGCCTCTCAGAATTACAGCTACATATTGTTTTCATAAATGTATTTTCCTAATAACCCCTGTACTGCTACTGCTTGCTTTCTTTCCGTTAGAATAAATATTGTATTGATACACTTACCGATATCTTATTTCATTCCGAAAAAATATTTGAGTCTGATCGCCGTTACATTAATTTCAATTAATCAGTTTCTGGTCAGGTTAAGTACCAAAAATCAAACAAATACTAACTCTATCATGTAACAAACCCGTTCGTATTAACAGCTGCTTTATCGGCTCTCATCACGCGATGCAACACGACGGAACTAAGTATGCTTTGAAGTGGAAAAATTACTATTTTTTTTTTATATACGGCGATTCTCAGTTCATATATATTCGATTAGGGCTAGTCTTGATAAATTATAAATATATTATTTTCAAAGAATAAATAAACTTGCAATTTCTACTCACAACATTTTGTTGATTTATTCCAATAAATATTTTTCAATATCATTTCTTATATGGTCTATTAGTAACTACATGTATTCGCTAAAATAAAACAGATTTGATATAACCAAACAATGGTTGATGCTAAATAATTAATTACTAGTCCATTATATGACTGTAACGGCGTTCTCTTAATTTTCTACTTTTTACATACTCGATTTAAATTATAGGCATACATTGTCATACAGTTTTCATAACATATAACTAATCTATCTGTGTGTGCTTTCCACAGCCTCCTATCGTTCCAAGCGTTAGTCACAGTGGCGATACTCGTTATTTTGACCGGTTTCCAGACAAGAAATTGAAAAATGTTAAGACTAAAATAGAAGAGGAGGAACTGGCGTATTTCAAAGACTTTTAATTTCTTCCTGAAACTAAGAGAATAGGGCTCGTCTGTGATCATTTCAGAAGTTTGTCACCGACACACTGAATAAATTTTATTATTTCGCAAAAATCGATTATATATAAACTTATTTTGAATAATCGCTATAATCATTTAAATAAACGGTTTTGAAGGGTGATTATTAAGAAGGCAATTGTTGGTCACGGACATAATGAAATGACATGGTTCAGATAATATGTATATATACTTTTAAAGTTTAATATAAAATGTGGTTATCATTTTGCATTAATTTTTTCATAAGTCAGTTCATAGGTTTAAAAATAGAAAGGCGTCAAATTAAATAGTTTATTAAAATCATACACACACATATCTTAGCTCTTTAGAACGTGATAAATAAGTAGCAAGTATTTCAAAATTAAAAGGTAACCAAGAAATGTCTAAGTTCAATGCGTAAGGAGTATAGAAAAATCAAGGTAACAACAACGTGCAGTACATTACAGAACGCATTTGTGGATTATTTTAATCAAATAAATTTATCAGTGACTGACGGCGGTATTGTTTATTAATAGTCATTTTATGTCTTACTATACAAGTTTGTCGTTAGAATTTGTTGTTATACGTTTGTGTACTGTTTTACTTTGATGTAAGTATTGTTCCATTTAGTTTAAAATCCTTCTGAATTTAACGATTTAATAGCTCACGTTAAAAATGATGAAGTTATGTACAAATTAGACGATGTCTCGATTAATGAAAAAGTAGAAAAAAGGATTTTAACAAAACTATTCGATACAGACCTAGATAATTCTTCAGAACTGGAGCATCTAGATTATATGAATAACGATTTTAAAACATAACCATTAAGATGTATATGACGAAGTTTCTTAATTCATGTCGATGTTTCAAGTAACTCTCGTTTACGTCTTCGCGTCTGAGTGAGCACTAATAAGACTAAGATTATATGTGATTAGCATGCGGACGTCGGAGAGAGCTGGAGAGTTTATTCAATCGTTGTTTATGTCAGTGT